ATAGCAGTTATTAAAACCATGACTTCAGAAGGCAGAGTATGATTTAATTTTTACTAGTTTCTATTTCATTTCAATTATAATGAGAAAAAATATATAAATTTCTACTTATGAAGATATTTACATAAATGTATTTCTTGAAAGGGGACCAAAACAATAAGGCAATACCCTCAACCAGGATAATAGCAAACTAATGAAAAAGACATATAATTGGGCAGTGTCTGTGGCTCAAAGGAGTAGGGCGCCGGCCCCATGTGTCGGAGGTGGCAGGTTCAAACCTAGCCCCGGCCAAAAACTGCAAACAAACAAAAAAAACCCATATAACTGTTTTTATAAAAGTAATATTTTCTTATTGAATATTTGGAAAATATTCAAAGGAGTATAATAGAAATGGTTCAGAGTTACATATATCCCCACTACCCAGGGAGCAAATTGACTTTCAATACATTTGTCTCCCATTTGAGATACCATTGTAAAGATAATTTTTCATTATCCCCTTTAACACGTTGTAAATGTTGCCCAAAGGCATAAAAATATTTTAAACATAACTTAAAAAATTTTAAGAAGTTTTTTTTCTAGAGATAGTCTCACTTTGTCACCCTCAGTAGAGTGCTGTGGCATCACAGCTCACAGCAACCTCCATCCAATTTTGAGAAGCAGCCGTCCTGCAGAAAAGCAAAAGAATAGTACAGTAACTTCTATACACCTTTCACCTGGAATCATCAGTTACTTTAATTTTGCCATATTAGTTTTATCTCTCTCTACTATTTCATTTTGATGAACCTGGAAATGTTTTTAATGTCTGTACATATTTATTCTTGTCTGAGGATCCTAGTTAACCATAATCTTAATATACATAGATTTTGGCTTCTTCTTCCTTTCCCCCCATTGTAAATTGAGTTCAGTGAGCAATCATGCTAAGCAGCATACTATGAGATCTCACTTTAATACTATAACCCTGTGGGTAGGGGTTGCAGAAGGATTCAAGCTTAGAGAATTCCAATAACTTGCCGAAGGTCAAATAGCTAATATGTGGTAGAGCTCAGACTTGAATCCCGGTCTGGTGAACTTCAAAGTCTGGGTTTTGAATTACGTCCTCGTCCTGCCTATCTGCCGTCCTCTTAGATGCTAACTCCTCTGTGAAACCTTCCTGAGTTCCATCTCTGCACCCTTCCTTTGCTCTTAGTGCCCTGTCTGCTTAGACAAGTAGTGGTTTATTTCGGTATGACTGACTGACTCGCCTTCCCACCTCATTACACTCCCAGGACATTTTGGCTAGGATTTGTGTGTTAGTCACCCTTTATTTCTGGTTTCTGGCACACAATAGCTTCTCCAATATTCATCAAGTAAAGAAATGAATGGTGGATAGTTTCTTAATATTAACAAATTTCTCTGCCTAAATCTTGTTCAAGTTTCATTTGATGGGCAGGATTTCTATGACTGAACTCACCACCTGCCAATATTGAGTGCTAGGACTTGGAGTTTGTGGTGCTTGGGCCGCATTATCTCCGTGTCACACTTATAAATTTCTTTATGAGAAAGATGTAGGTATGTCCCAGTTCATTAAATAAGACATTTTTAATGAAGCCAATCATGTGTTTTCATAATCATGAAATACGTGTTTCTTGAAGAAAATTTGTTAAGATAGTGAAAAAGATCAAAAAGGGTTAAAAGTCTCACTGCTCTGAAACTTTTTGATAAAAAACCTGTCAGTATTTTCTTACCTAAAAATAAGTGACATGTTATTTCTTTCTTTCTTTAAATACTATTTACTGTGAATATTTTCCTATACATGCATACTAATGAACCTTTGAAAACCAAACTTTCAAAGGCTAATATTCCATCTCATGAAAATATAATATTCTGGAATTGTAAACATAGCTATTTGCAAGCAATGTCAGATATAAATCCTTTTATGTATTACTAATCAATTACTAATCACTTCCTGTTTTAAATGACAATATTTCAAATATACCGAAAAGTTCAGATAATAGTGTAACAGATACCAGAGCATCTCCCAGGGGGTATTTACAGGTATCTAGGAACCCCTAAAATGAAGGGATTAGAGAGAACTAGTTGTTCACCCTCTGAGTAGACGTTTCTATCTTGGTATCCCCTATTTATGTCAAATGGATATTAGATTTGCCAATTTGTGCTAATGCAGTTCAAGCTGTGTCAGATCTATTGTATTGATTCCATCCTTCTCTTTGATTCCTTTGGGGACACTTATTTAAAACTACTTTCCTTGACTACTGCTTCAAGAGCTATCACAGCTGCGGACACAGCTGCAGTTTTTTGTTGTTGTTTTGTTGTTTTGTTTTTCTTCGTTTAAACTAGACACTCATCATTCACACTTCCTTGAACACAGCTGGGTGTGTTCCTTCTCCCTGCTTGGTATCTTGCTATACAATCACTCATTTGAATATATATTGATGGATACGAACTGGGTGACATTGTTATGAATCACTGCATGTAATTTTTATTGTCTTATGCTCTTTGGGGATTCCTGTATTGCTTTCCCTGCCCCTGATTTCAACAACGGAAGAAGTGTAAATCATAATGGTAGAAGTAACTGCAATTCTTGTGAAAATTATTGGCTTATTCTAAGTTTCCACTGGTTGTTGGAACTATAAAGTAGATTCTTTCGTGTGTAGTCTGTGTGCCAATATGGACTTAGTTTATCGTGCTACTTGAACATTCACGTAAAACATTTTAGAAAGAAATGAATATAGATAAAAGGAGCCACTCCCAAAGACTATCATCTCACCCCCTTGCCAAAAAAAATCTCGTTATCTTGACAATGGAGTCTAAAGAATTGAGAGAAACAATTAACAAAGTTAATATAGTTTCTTCTTTTTCTTTTCTTCCATTTTATGCTCTGTCTGTATGTAGGTTACACTCTTATATTTTTATTTTTTAATTTTAAACTCAAAAACTTAGCAATTACATCGTGTTTATAATTTGCTGGGTGCTTTTCTAAGGCTTAGCAGTTTACCGATAATTAATTCATTTAATCCCCACACCAATCCTATGAGGCATGTCCTGTTAACTCCACTTTGCCAGATGGGGAATCTGAAACACGGAAAGGTTGCTGTTAATCTCGTAGTTACAGTTTGGTATTGAGCACATGTGATGCTTATTTTTCCAATCTTGCAATACTTAGGAAAATATTCTCCAAAACAATCCAGTTTGTTACAATGAATGGAAAATTTCGATCTTTTTTTAGGTTTAGTAGTAGTCCGTGTTATATAAGGACCACAGTGTATTAATCCATTTATGTGTTGACGGGCACTTGGGTTGTTTCCACATCTTTGCAATTTTGAACCGAGCAGCTATGAGCTCTCTGCCCTTGTATATGAGGTCAATGAAGTTCGCAGACTCATCCTAGAAAAAGTGCTTTGCAGGGTGGACTAGGTCCTGGCATTGGTTCACAGCTTCCCCAGGGGAGTACATTGAAAGTAACTTGAGTGATATTCAGGAATGGGGTATGTAGCACTTTTTCCATGGTGAGTTTGTGAACTTGATTGTCTGACCTTGTATAATATATAGACATAATATTTAAAATTTGTATATTATATAATTTGTGCATATATATACATATTTCTCTTCATGCTTAGATCTACTTTATCCCAGAAAAAGAGGCAAAATCGTTCTTCAGAGATCAAAGCAGCTGTCAGTGGGTGGCAAATTTTGAATTTTTTTTCCTGCAGTCCTTTTTTCCTTGAGTTATATATGAAGATATCTACACCTCAGACCTCGGCTGTGGTTGGTTCATGCCAAGCTTTACAGCTAGCTGGAAGAGCATGGCCAAGGGGCCGCCATCTCTCAGTACTCAGTTCTTTCTGTTTTCCCTGAATGAAGGAGGGGCTGGTGCACACCCTGAGCAAAGAGGCTGTGGGTCAGAATCTCCTTCTCCCAGGGGACACCCCAGAATCCCTGGAGGACCAGATGCTACTTAGCAGGTCTCATCTTACAGAGTAAGCCCTGGTGAGAGAAAGGGACTTACCTGGGTCCCACTACTAGTAAATTAGGATGCCAGAATTCAACCCTGGCCTTCTCACCCTTCCATTTAATTCTTAGTGCTAGTATCCTCTGTCTAAAACCATCATTTGCACCCTGGCTCTCACAGAGCATCTTAGAGCAGTGTGTTTGGTAATTTCATTCTAACAGGATCTCATGATAATGGTACTTTTGATATTTTTTTCCCTTCCCAGGATTCATACCTGTATGTAGCCTTGGAGTAGCTCAAGTGGGCAGGATGAACTTTGGAAAGGATGTCAGCACCTTGAAATACTTCACCATCTGTGGCTTACAAGAGGGCTATGAACCATTTGCTGTTAATACAAACAGGGATATTACCATGTGGCTGAGCAAGAGGCTTCCTCAGTTTCTCCAAGTTCCATCAAACCATGAACATATTGAGGTTTGCTTTTTCTTTTTTATTATTTTTATTTTTTTATTAAATGATAGCTGTGTACATTAATGCAATCATGGGGTATCGTGTGGTGTTTTCATAGACAATTTGAAATATTTTCATCCAACTGGTTAACGTAGACTTCATGTCATTTTCTTAGTTATTGTATTAAGACATTTATATTCTACTGTTAGAAAGATTTACTTGTACCCTTGAGGTTTGTTTATTTCTTTGAAGATCAGACCATTTCCAAGAGCTAAAAGCAGGATATCTTTATCCATAAGAGTTTCTGCTTAGACAATTGCTATAACTTAACTTAAAAAGGTGACCCTGATGTGTTACATAGTGGTGGAGTCTAAGCAAAGAATGAACCTCTCATTTTATATACTGATCGCTTATTTGACTGATTAAGAATAATGTCCTTTTTCACATAGTGTCAGGCTGAAACTGAGTGTGTACAGTTGTAACATGAATTTCCCAAACTATTGTTAGAGTTAGAAGCAGAACTCTGAGTATGTCTGTGTGACCATACTCCCTGTTTAATTGTCTCTTACAAAATGATGCCACACTGTGGACCATCTTGGGATTCTGAAAACGAGATGTTCATTAGTCATCTTTAGAATGAGTGAATCAACAAGTAGAATGTCGACTCATATTTCTTCCCTTTGCTAGGTGACCAGAATAGATGGCACCATAGACAGCTCCCCGTGCTTAAAGGTCACCCAGAAGTCATTTGGTTCTCAGAACAGCAGCAGCGACATCATGTTTTACCGCCTGAGCATGCCCATCGAGTGTGCGGAGGTCTTCTCCAAGACTGTGCCCGGAGGGCTCCCTGGTGCTGGCCTCTTTGGGCCCAAGAATGATTTGGAGGATTACGATGCAGACTCTGACTTTGAGGTTTTAATGAAGACAGCTCATGGCCATCTGGTGCCTGGTGTTGACAAAGACAAAGAAACTACAAAACCAGAGTTTAATAACCACAAAGATTATGCTCAGGAAAAGCCCTCTCGCCTGAAACAAAGGTTATTACTAGATACAATATGATTTTAAACATGTATTATTATGCAGAGAGGATTTCATTGGAGGGTGAGGGGTTTCCTAGTATTAATTTGTTCCTCCTCTTTCTTCATTTTTTTTTTTTTTGCAGTTTTTGGCAGGGGCCAGGTTTGAACCCACCACCTCCGGTATATGGGGCCAGCGCCCTGCTCCTTTGAGCCACAGGCACCACCCTCTTTCTTCATTTTGTACAAAGGCTTCTAGAGGGGAAAATAAAGTCACCCATTGTCATATAATTTTTTATCATAGATATAATTTATCCCAAGCATTTTTTTTTAGATGTCTATGTTTACATTCTTGGTTGAAATTTAAAGAACGTTTTCTCTAAATAGAATTTTTATGGTGAAGAAGGCAAGTTATTTTATCATCTTTTTTTTACAGTACATCCATTTTTTAACCTCAGCTCTGCTGACACTTTAATTCAGGTAATTTTTGTTGTGGGACCTGTCCTAGTCATTGAAGGACCTTGACCAGCCTCTATGCTCTAGATGCTGGCAGCCACCCTATTAGTTGTAACAACCAGTGATACCTCCAGAAAGTCCCAGGTGTACCCCCCCGGCAGTAACATTGCCCTGCTTTAAGACCACTCAATTGGTTATGACTCAGGGGTCCTCAAACTTTTTAAACAGTCCATTGGAGGGCCGGACTGCGGGCCCCGGGATGAGTTGGCTGCTAAGCAGGACAGGCAGTGGCGGCAAAAACACCCGGCAGGCTGGATAAATATCCTAGGAGGGCCACAGTTTGAGGACGCCTGGATTATGTGTTCATACTTGAAGTAGGCAGAACATTTTAGTGCTGCTTATTCTTAGTCCTTTACTGTATTTCAGATTTCTGCTTAAAAGAACAAAGCCAGATTACAGCACAAGCCATTCTGCAAGACTCACGGAAGACGTGCTTGCAGATGACCGAGACGATTACGACTACCTGATGCAGACGTCCACGGTAGGAGGTTGCAGCTGTTGTCAGTTATTTCTGTTTGTCATGTATTATACTTGACATCTCAAATAGTGCACTTCAGTTTATCATATGTAACCATGTTATTTTTTGCATAATCATTTGCTTATTTTTTAAGATACATTGAGGGCTGAAAACTTGACAATGTATGTATCTGAATGTGTACTATGCAATAAGAAAGCTATTTTAGAAACAGCACCCTTCATGGCATTGATAATCTTGATTTTGCTCTCCTGTTTCTTGACAAAGTTCTAAATTGCACTTGAATTTTCCAAGCAGATATAATTTCCTTTGCCTTAGTGAATTTCCTAAAGAAGATCATTTATCGTTTTTTTGTGAGAGGTCGAGTTTTGCTCTCTGCCATTTAAAAGTTTCAAAACTACTTCTCCCGAAATGCCAGATGGAAAAGATAAATAGATATGTCCAGTGTACAGTGTTTCTGCTTTGAATTTAATGTTCAGGTTAGATCTGAACTATTCCAAAGTAATTTATTTTAAGGTATGAAAATGTTATATGTCAGAGATAGAAAAGGCCAAACATACATGCAAAGGAGTGGGTGACAGGTACAAAAACTAGCATAGATTAGTGTATCTGTACAGGCTTGAACTTGAAGCCTACCTGCTGAGGGGATTAATGATTTTATCACATACTGTATGGAAATGTATATATGTGTGTATACACGTCCTGAACAAATATATATATGTAGGCTCAGGAGAATAAAATACCTTAATTATTTAGGGTACTTTTATTTCTCTCTCTTAACCTTTATTTCTGATCTAATTCAGAATTTCTGGTATAAGGTATTTCTTAGTCTCCAGTGTCAGTCCTTTGTGCCTGTAACATTTTAATTCATCCAATTATTTTTTAAACCAATAAATACATTATTTAGGTTATTCGAAGTCTCAGACAACAGTGAGGATTGTAAGTCAAGGTTGTGTTTTGTTCTGTTGACATTTCTTTTTGCTGTCTTGACAGTACTATTACTCAGTGAGAATCTTTCCCGGACAAGAACCCGCTAATGTCTGGGTGGGTTGGATTACATCAGATTTCCATCAGTATGATACAGGCTTTGACTTGGACAGAGTTCGTACAGTAACAGTTACTCTAGGAGATGAAAAAGGAAAAGTGCACGAAAGGTGGGTTTTTCTCAATTTTTTATAAGAGTGCCATCTGAAAGAAAAAAGGTTAACCTAGATCATCTTTTTTCTTGGATTTTATGACCATGATATTTCTATTTATAGGAAAAATATAACCAAGCCATAACGTCGCTGTTCTTTTTGTTACCCATACAAACCTGTAAAGACTCTAAGTATATTAAAAGGAAAAACATTGTACAATAAGTTAGTACATATTTTGGATGAGTAATCATGTATTTATTCACCTAATACAACTAACAACTTGGGTTAACAAATGCTTAGCCGGCTCCATGCCTGTTGCTCAGTGGCTAGAGTGCCAGCCACATACAGGGGGGTGGGAGGGTTTGAATCTAGCCTGAGCCTGCCAAAACAACAATGACAACTACATCCAAAAAATATCTGGGTGTTGTGGCTGATGCCTGTAGTCCCAGCTACTCAGGAGGCTGAAGGAAGAGAATTGCTTAATCCCAGGAGTTTGAGTTTGCTGTGAGCTGTGATGCCGCAGCACTCTACCCCTGGGAGAGTGAGACTCTGTCTCAGAAACAAACAGACAAAAAAAACTGCTTAGCCTTTCTTTTAGGGATTTGAAATGGGTGAATGTGAGACATTTAACATATGATCTGATATGTATCTTGGGAACTAGCTGTATGGTGGGGAGAAACATGTGAAGGCAATGTGGGCTGGTAGTTTAGACCAGGGGACACATTTGAACTCAGACTGAGGAGCAGTGGGTTCTTTCCTCAGCTTTGCCATTGACTCGCTGTGTGGCTTTGGGTAAGTCAGTTACACTTTCTGTGCCATCCTTTTTCATTTGTAAAACAAACCAAACTCAAACCAAACCTTCAAAAAAGTGAAGAAGGCTATCTTCCTTGCAGAGTAAGACAAGAGAAGATCTGACCATTTGCTTCTCCCTTTTGTGCCCATGCATCCTCTCTGATCTGCTGTGACAGGTCTCAGAAAGAGTCCTTTATAATGTTGCTTTCCTTCTCTACCTGCACCATCATTTTTGGTGGCTGGGAAACTCCCTTTCCTGCCCTCAGGATATAACATGTGAAATGTAATTGAGTTAGCACTTGAGATGTGGACCTAGCAAAATTCTTGAATGAAAAGCACTTTACATTAGTAGGGGACTCACAACCACGTGTCTCTAGAAATGTTCTCTGGTGCACACTTTTAATATTTAGAGATGGCAACAATATAAGAAAAGAACTTAATATGGGGATGGGATAACTGAAAGATGATTTTGTTACAGGAAATAGAAGATAGGGAAGGATGATTGAATATTATGTTCACAGTGTGAAGAAATGCAGCCTACATTTGATTATTCAGAAACCAACTTTATCCCAGCCTTTTTGTTCTTTTCCTTCTGCTTGCTTGGCTTTGGATTTTTTGCTAGTCTTGTTAATATGTTCACTGCGTAGTGGCAGAGAAAAGGGATGGAGATGAAGTTCAAATTACTTAACTTTGTTATCATCACTAGTAGATGTTTCAGGAGAGATGATAACTAGGTGGGGTTTGTTGTTAATCACTGACTTTGTATATATTCTAGTTAAGTCTTTCTCTCATAAGAGATGAACAGGAATTGTCCATAAGGGGACAAAATTTCAGCCAAATTTTAAATGTAGTGAATCACTGACGGCTCATGTAGAATTTGCCTAAGGACCTTGATAGTGTTTGGAAACAAATGCTTCTCATTTCAGAATAAGTGGTTTAAAAAAAAAAAAAACACAAAGCTTGAAATGAAAATTAAAAAATTTGGATGAATTTTAAATAGTTAAACTTTTTTGAACCTCAGAAAAAGGTCCAGTTTGGTTTGAGTTTTTGGAGAGGTGGTGCAGGTCAGTCTTACTTGGTCCAAACTTGTTGACCTGTTTCCATTAGGTGTGAAATTTAGAGATGTGTTCAGACCTGATTCAGAATGTCCACTGCAGTCAATGGAGTTTTTCTCAGAATCACAGAGTTGGGCCCATTGTGCACCTCTCCCATTACAGCATGAGCTTGTTGCTTGCGCAGCATAATTTAGTTAGTTTGCAAAATATACATGCTTTCTTTTTTTTTTATCTGTGGTCGTGCAAAGATAAAAAAAATTTTTTTTTTTGAAATTCAGCATCAAACGCAGCAACTGCTATATGGTATGTGCGGGTGAGAACATGAGCCCTGGGCAAGGACGCAATAATAATGGACTGGAGATTGGCTGTGTTGTGGATGCTGCCAGCGGGCTGCTCACATTCATTGCCAATGGCAAGGAACTGAGCACATACTACCAGGTACGTGGTCAGTGATGATGTCATATTTCTTGGGAAGAAAAGCTTTCTTCCCATTAAAAAAAAAAAAACAAAACTCATTTTGTGAGATCAAAAAGCAAATTAGACACATGTATGTGTAGCCCTGGTCTGAGAAACAGCCCAACAGACCCATCTCTGACAAGCCTGCCCCTCAGCTGTCTCAGCCTTTGCAACCAATCTTGAGGCCCTTCCTGTAGCAAAGTGACCACCACAAACTCCTGCATTCTAAGCCACCACTTGCAGACATTGCTGACATGGATTATAGCTGAAGAATCTGCACAGATGCTACATTACTTCATTCAGTCAGAAACAAAATCAACATATCCTACCCAGCCAAAAGCCTTAGGACTTTTCTATGGGAAAAAAGTAAATCCCTATGAAAGCTGCTCTATAAAATTGAAAGAGGTAACTCTTCTACCAGGTGAGCAGATATCAACATAAGAACACAAGAGATATGACAAAGCAAGGAAACATGAATTATCCAAAGGAACACACTAATTCTCTAGTAATATACCCCAAAGAAAAGGAAATTTACAAAATGCCTGAAAAAGACTTCAAAATAATTATCTGAAAGGAACTTATCAAGATATAAGAGAATATAAATAAATGATTCAACAAAATAAGGAAAATAATTCATAATCTGAATGAGAAATTTAACAAAGAGATACTATTGAAAAGAACCAAAGAGAAAGCTTGAAACTGAAGAAGTCAATAAAATAAATAAAACATATAATTGAGAGCTTCAACAACAGACTAGTTCAAGCAGAAGAAAAAATTTCTGAATTTGAAGATAGGTATTTAGAAATGACCTCAGAGGGAATAAAAAGGTATAAAAAAGAATAAAGAAAACCTATAGGACTTATGGGACACCATGAAGCAATAAAGAAAAGCATAGAAAACATAAAGAACATAACATAAAGAAAAGCATAGAAAAAGTTATTATTTAATGAAATAATAACTAAAATTTTTCTAAGTCTTAGGGAGCAACATGGATATTCAGATCTAGGAAGCTGACAGGATCCCAATAGATTCTAACCCAGAAAGGTTCTCTCTCAGGCAAATTGTAATCAAACTGTCAAAAAAATCAAGAACAAAGAGAATTTTAAAATCAGAAAGGGAATGGCATCAAGTCACATATACTGATTAGATTTCCCAATTACAATACAGTGGCTACATGGATTACAAAAAGACCCAACTATATGTAGCCTTTAAGAGACTCACTTTACCTATAAGGACACGCATAGACTGAAAGTAAAGGGATGAAAAGAGATACTCCATGCAAACAGAAACCAAAGGTGAGCAAGAGTAGCTCTACTTATAGCAGATAAAATAGACTTAAAGTCAAAAGCTGTAAAAAGAGACAAAGTTATTATGTAAGAATAAAGTAGTTCAGTACTATATATGATACAATATATAGGGAAATAACAATTATAAATATATATGCGCACAACATGACAGCACCTAAGCATATAAAGAAAATATTATATCCAAAGGGAGAGATTTTAATGCAATAATAGTAGGGGACTTTAACACTGCATTTTCAGCAATGTATAGATAATCTAGATAAAAATTCAACAAAGAAATAGATTTAATCTGTACTGTAGACCAAATGGATCTAACAGACATTTATAGACCATTCTATCTAATAGCTGAAGATGACATGTTTTTCTCAAGTGCACATGGAACATTCTCTAGGATACATAATATATTAAGCCACAAAACAGATCTTAACAAGTTTAAGATGATAGAGATCATATCAAGGCTCTTCTGTGACTATACCAGTATAAAACTAGAAATTAGTAATGGGAGAAACTGAGGAAACTTTAGAAATACCTAGAAATTTTAACAACATACTTGTGACTAATCAGTGAGTTAAAGAAAAAAAGAGAAGTTTTTAAATTTCTTGAGGAAAATGAAAATGAACACAATATAGCAAAACCTAAGATATAGAAAAAAATAGTTCTAAGAGAAGTTTATAATTATAAATGCCTGTATCAAAAAAGTAGAAATATCTTAAATAAACAACCTAACATCACACCTCAAGGAACTGCAAGTACGAGAACATACTAAACCCAAAATTAGTAGGAGGAAATAATAACAAACATCAGAGCCAACATATAATAGAGACCAAAAATAATACAAAAGATCAATGAAATGAACAATTGGGTTTATTTAAAGATAAACCAACAAACCTTTAGCTAGACTAAGAAAAAAAGAGGTAAATAAAATGAAAGATGGAAAAGGAAACATTAGAAGAAATAACGTAGAAATAAGAAGGATCTTGAGAAAATATTATGAATAATTGTAAACTATCAAATTGGATAACTTAGGAAAAATGGATACATTTCTGGATCTATGCAACCTACTAAAATTTGCATATGAAGAAATAGAAAATCTGAACAGATCAATAATGAGTAATTCAATGAAATTGAATTAGTAATAAAAAGTATCTATCAAAGACAAGACCACCTGATGACTTCTATTAAATATTTAAAGAAGAGTTAATAATTCTCAAACTATTCCAGAAAATTGAAGAAGAGGGACTATTTCCAAACTCACCTATGAAGCTAATATTATCCTAATGCCAAAACCAAAAAAACAACACAACACAAAAGAAAACTATAGGCCAGTATGTCTGATGAAAGTAGATGCAAAAGTCTTCAACAAAATACTAACAAAAGTCAACAGCATATTGAAAAAGATTATTCACTATGATCAACTGGGGTTTATCCCAGGGATACAAGAATGGTTTAATGTATTCAAACCAATAAATGTTGTATATCACATTAACAAGAAGAAGTACAAATACCATATGATTATTTTAATAGATACAAAAAAATCACTTGACATAATTCAACATCTCTTCATGATAAAACTTCTCAACAAAATAGGTATTGAAGGTACATGTCTCAATCCAGTAAGGCCATGTATGACAAACCAATAGCTAGCATCATACTAAATGGGGAAAAGACAAAAGCATTTTCTCATAGGTCTGAAACAAGACAAAGATGCCATGTACACCATTTCTATTCACCATAGTACTGAAAGTCTTAGCACAATTGAACAAGAGATAGAAATAAAAGGCATTCAAATGTGGGAGATGACATGCTCTTACATAGAGAAAACCTTTAAATTGTTCACTAAAAACCTGTTATAACTAACAAATGAATTCAGCAAATTTGTTGGATACAAAACATACAAAAATCAAAAGCATTTCTATACACTGGTGGTGAAGTCTCTGAAAAAGAAATTAAGAAAATAATTTCATTTGTAATAGCTACAAAAAATAAGATATCTAGGAATAAATTTAACCAAGGAGGTAAAGATCTCTACACTAAAAACTATAAAACTTTGGTGAAAGAAATTAAAGAGGACACAAATAAGTGGAAAAATACTTCCTGTTCTTGGACTGGAACAATTAATATTGTTAAAATATCCATACTAACCAAAGTTCTACATCTTCAGTGTAATTCATATGAAAATACCAAAGAAATTATTCATGGAAATGGAAAAGGAAATCTAAAATTTATGTAGAACCACAAAAGACCCTGAATAGACAAAAACCAATCTCAAGCAAAATAAACAAAACACATAAACAAAACAAACCAAAAAAAAACTCTTTAGGCATCACACTACCTGATTTCAAAATATACTGCACAGCTGTAACAGCTACATTAGCATGGTATTTTGGCATAAAAACAGATACATAGAATACTGGAACAGAGGAGAGAATGTAGAAATAAATACACACAAATATAGCAATTGATATTCAAATGAGATGCCAAGAACACTCATTCAGGAAGAAAAGTCTCCTCAATAAATGTTGCTGGTAGGACATTTGTACTAGATTGTTTATCAAGCTCAATTTACAATCACCAAAATGTGGAAACAGCCTAAATGCCCACCATCCTAGGAATGGATTAACAAACTGTGGTATATGTACACCAGGGAATACTATTCAGCCATTAAAAAAGATGGAGACTTTACATGTTTTGTATTAACCTGGATGGAAGTGGAACTCATTATTCTTAGTAAAGCATCACAAGAATGGAAAAGCAAGAATCCTATGTACTCAATTCTGATATGAGGACAATTGATGACCTAGTATACTCTGGGGGGTGGGAAAGCAGAGTCTAGGGAGAAAGAAAGAAGGATGGGAGTTGGGGGGTCATAGGGTGTGACACACCTCTTGGAGATGGGACACAATTATAAGAAGGACTTTACCTAACAAATGCAATCAGTGTAATGTGGTTCTTTGTACCCTCCATGAATCCCCAACAATAAAAATAAATAAATAAATGGTGCTGGAGAAGTTGATTATCCACATTAAATTAAAGGAATTAAACTGGATTTATCTTTCCTCATACATAAAAATAAAGTCAAAATGATTTAAAGATTTAGAGGTAAGACCTGTAACTATGAAACTACTAGAAGAAAATGTATGGGCAATACTAATTGACATTTGATTGGGCTTGGATTTTGGGGGTAAGACCTCAAAAGCACAAGCAGAAATGGAACAGAAATAGACACATGGGATTACACCAAATTAAAAGCTTCTAGACAGCAAAGGAAACCATCAATAGTGTGAAGGCACAGTGTACAGAGTGGGAGAAAATATTTTCAAACTATACATCTGACAAGGGGTTAATATTCAGAACATAGAAGGAACACAACTCAATAGCAAAAGAAAAAGGAAAAATTCTCAAATAATCTGATTTAAAAATGAGTAAAAGACCTTAATAGGCATTTTTCAATAGAAGACATACAAATGGGCAACAGGCATATTTTTAAAATGCTCAATACCACTAATCACCAACAAAGTACAAACTACCATGAGATACCATCTCATTTCAATTAGAATGGTAACTATCAAAAAGAAAAAGGTAACAAGTGTTGATGAGGGTATAAAGAAAACAGACCCATCACACATGATTGGTGGGAATGTAAATTAAATTAGCCACTAATGGATAACAGTATGGAGGTTCCCCCCCAAATTAAAAATATAACGTCATATGATCTAGCATTTCCACCACTGAGGATTCATCCAAGGAAAATGATAGCCGTTTTGAAGAGATTTCTGCACTTCCAGAAAATGTGGTATGATATAGACAATGGTATATTATCAGCCAGAAATAAGAATGAAATCCTGTTATTTGTGAAAACATGGATGTACCTGAAGGATTATGTTGAGTGAAATAAGCCCCAGACACAGAAGGATGTAATACCACATTTTATCACTCATGTGGAATCTTAAAAAAAAATCATCTCATAGAAGTAGTGTTTGGAACACTGGTTGCCAGAGATGGGGCTAGATAGGAGGAATGGTGGAATGGAGAGGGGATGGTTAGTATATTTAGAGTTACAGTTAGGAAGGAAGAATAAGTTCTGCACAGTTGAGTTAACTGTAGTCAACAGTAAGGTATTGTAGATCTTAAAATACCTGGGGGGGGGGACTTTTTCTGTTCCCACCATAAAGGAGTGATAAATATTGAAGTGATAAATATGCTAATTACCCATATTTTCTCATTTACATAATGTATTCATGTATCAAAACATATGACATTTTACCCCATAAATATGTACAATAATTATGTCAGCTAAAAAATAGTAAATTAGAAATTAAAAGAAAATAGAAAAATAAGTTAATTACACATGTTTAATTCTGCTGAATACTGACAATGCAATAAACCCTACAGAGTAAACAATGTGTCCCTCCAAAAATATCCACATAATAATGAAATACTCTCATTGTTGAAGGAGGATGTCCACATGCTAGAAAGGACTACCTGATCTTCTTCTGTGAAGAGTTCCTTACTTGTTACAAAGAAAATGAGTGCATTTCTTTTATTGTCTTCTTTCTTCATTAATATTATTAAATTTGTTTGTTTATTTAAGGTGGAGCCAAGTACAAAATTATTTCCTGCAGTTTTTGCACAAGCGACAAGTCCCAATGTTTTCCAGTTTGAGCTGGGAAGAATAAAGGTAAGAAAAACTCATTCCTAATATTATATTTGTATTATTTTCCCATCAGGGCATAGCATTTATTCTGAAATTAACTCAGTATTATTGCTGACATGAATTAACTCTTTAAAGAAAAGTTAACTGTGTTTGAGAATCTCTTTCAGGTCACTAGGGTAACGTAACTCATTAGAAAGAGCTAATCTTTGGTCATCCTACATATACTATTCAATAAAAGTAGGCATAGATAGAGCAAAATATGCTAAATTATGCGTAGTGCAGGAATCATTAAAGTCATTAATGCATGTACTTTAATACCTGAAGCCGTGCCACCTAGAATAGTGGGATGTATAGCATACTCTGGAGACATTAATGGAAGAAACCAGTTGAATGGTTTAGTTTGGGTAGATGAGAAAGAAGAAATGACGCTGATTGCTAACTGTTAAATAGGAGCTCTTGGGGGCATATTTTCAGATGAGGTTATTCTAGACAAAGGAAAAAGAAAGAGTACACAATAATGAAAGAGTTGCAGGTTAAATAGTTCACCTTACTTAACAAAGGATGCTTTCCAGACTATGGCTGGAAATTAATATGGATGAAAGTTAGACCAAGTTGAAGTTGAAAAGCCTTGTGTGCTGTGCTAAGAAGTTGACACCTTTTATATAGACCGTGGTGAGCCTGGAAATCTGAAGGAGGGTATTGAGTACCTACTGTAATTTGTAATGAATGAATGAAATTTGAGTACATTATGAAATACATAATGAAATTTGTTTTGGAAAAATACGTCTGTATTAATGTGGACATGGACAAGGATGAGACCAGGCAGTACCAATGGAGTGTTGACAATCTGGTACTGTCTACATGGGAAATGATGAGTGCTGTGAAAAGAAGAATGGAAAATGGTAAATGTGAAATGTTTTTCCGAAGAAATTAATAGCATTTGATAATGAATTAGATGAATAGGATTTTTTGATGAATCAGATTCAGGTACTCAAGTAAAGAATCAGTGACTGACTAACTTGAATCTTTTGGTTTGGACAACTTGAGAAAGCTAATGCAAAGGTAAAAGAGTTTAGTGAAATGCTGGAAGAGATTGAATTTAATTTTGCTGATATAAAATTGAGTTTCCAGGCATCCATCAGGGTCCACATGAGTTGACACTTTTAACCAGGCTGGCTTGGTGACCTTGAATGGGTTCCTTAAACTATATGAGCTCAGCTTCTGCCTTTCTAAAATGGGATTCATGGTATCTGTTTTATGGCGTTAATACAACTAAAAATCTCTGCCCCATATATAGTATCTGCTCAGTAAATATATATTCTATGTTGTAATATATATGCATAATACATTTATTTATACATAAATATTATAATGCATTTATTTATACTTAAATATTATAACACATTAATATAATACATAATACATTTATTTATACATAAATATTATATTTAAATTTATACATAAATAATACATGAATATTATATATTTATATAGAATGTAATTATATATGCATAACTTATGTGTCCATACACATAAATATATATAATGCATACATATAGGCACACAAATATGCCAAAAAAATGAGAATCATGTTGGAGATTAGAATTTTATGAAGAAATGAACTCTAATTCATCTTTGAGAATGACTGAAACATCTGAGGATACACAGAGAGAGTGAGCAGAGATGTGGGAGGAGAGAACCTGGGTGTGTCAACTAAGAAAGAGGAACTTACGGGAAAAGCCTAGGATGAAATTGTCAGGAAAGTAGGGAACTAAAAGAGACATCTTACTAGAAGCCAGGTGAAGAGGGAGTTTTCCAAATAGGAGTGGCTAACACCAGATAATAGACGCCATGGATAGACCCCTCCAGCTTGGATTGAAGGAATCTCTGGCTTTTGTTAGTGAGGAGGTCTCTGGCCACCTTGCCAGAAGAATTTCAGCAAGATGTTGGGAGAAGCCCAGTTACAATGAATTCAAGCTTGGATGTAAGAGAAAGGAGGCAGCAAGATCAAATGACTATTTTTTACCTTTCCATAAAATTTGACAACAAGTGTTAGTTTCTCAGAACCCTGACTGGTGTAGTCAGTGGTCTGGTGACATTTCCACTTAGATGGCTAAGAGATACCGCAAATGGGATGTGTCCACTCTGGACTTCAGAACATCACTCTTCCCTGCCCCTAAACTTCTTTATCCGCTGTCTTCCCCATGTCAGGTAACAGCAAATCTGTTCAATCCAAAACCCTTGGCGTCCCCTTTGACATCTCCCCTTCACGTTCCACGTCCCAGGTCCGTGCCCAGGAGATCCTTCACAATCTGAGTTAACACGGCTGCTGCCCATCACCACACTGATCTCTGCTGTCCTTCCTCATCTGGGTGACTCTCATCTACTGGCCCTTAGTGGGTTTTCATTAATTCATCCATGCCTGTTTGTTCATCATACAACAATCTGAGTGATTCTCAAAGTCAGTTCAGATCATTCCACCTGTTTCTCTGAGAGTAAAACTCAATATCTTATCATGGTCCTTGAGTCCCTGCAAAGTTCTAGCATTCTGTGACCTCTCTGGCCTCATCTCCTCCTGCCCTGCCCTCCCTTACTGCCCTCACCCACACTAGACTCTGGATCCTCCCCCGACTTGCCAAGCTAACTTCTTCTGCAGCATTTTTGCGCTGATGATCTTCTCTGCATGGAAATTTCTTCCCCCGAATACTCACATGGTTCTCTTCCATTTGGTCTTTCTTTAAATGTGACCTTCTCAATGCCTGGCCACCCTATTCATAATTGCTTTCCTGAATTCTGGTTTCCTCATTCTGGTTTTCTGTCCTCCCCTCCCTGCCCCATGACATCTCTTCAAATACACTATTTAATCTACTTACTGATTTTGTTTATTTTATGTCTTCAACAAGAAGAATGGAAGCTGGATGAGGTTTTGTTTGCTTTGTTTATCAACATTTTCAGTGCCTAAAACATTGTCTGACTTTTTTTTTTTTATTAGCAGAGGGGACTAGGAAAGCAGTTTGAGGATGAGGCAGTCTAGAGAACATAGTCATCTAGACTCTAGAGGGGAAGGAGAGATGGAAGTTAATAAAGAAATAGATGATGATCTCCATGTGGTTCCAGAAGAGCAGGCAGGAAGGCAGGGATTGTGTTAAGATTATAAATGGATGAACGAGCTTTGAGCAAAATAGAAAAGGAACTTCTCTTTCCCTGAGACCAGTTAGAAGAAATTAAGGATGGCTGAAGATGATATTGGAGGAGAAATAATTATGTTAGTTAATGCCTAAGTAATCCTGTTTTCTTATTTAGTAGTCAGGGTTATCTATTGAGCTAAGTCTGGGTAGAGGAAGTGGCTAAAGATGAGGTTGGGGAGAGCAGACAGATAATGAAAGGTCCGAGGGGATGTGATTTCTCTTTCAGGGAGTTTGGCATTCAAAGTCCCTAAGTGCTAGCCAGATTTCCCCAAGGGCCCAACCTGGTAAAGAGATATGAAGAGGGCTTTCTGGTTATGCTTATTTGCACCTGTGTTTTATGTGTGTCATAGAATAAATGCAAAAGAGCCCTCCTACCCTGTTTCCCCAAAATAAGACCTACCCCCAAAATAAGCCCTAGTAGGATTTCTATGCATTTGTTAAATATAAGCCCTACCCCATAATAAGACCTAGTGATGGGCATGGCTATGCAGCATATCTGCATAGCCACACCCTGCATTTCTGTGTGGAGTGGTAAGGAAGACTGGAATACCTTTTATCTGCCACAGCTCCTTTCTCTGAGTGATTGGCACTTGCTTGGGTGCATGTGGTAACTGCGGTCTTAGGCATCCTATTGCACGTGTGCAAATGGCTAGGGGAAAGGAGTTCATGCATCACTAGAGCCAGCCCCACCAACAAGGTCGGCTCCCCCTGTCAGGTTCCAGAAGAAGATGACTTAACTGTATTTGAATAAATGTAGATTGTGGTGATATACTTAATAAAAATGAGACATCCCCTGATAATAAACCCTAGTGTATCTTATTGAGAAAAAATAAATATAAGACAGTGTCTTATTTTCGGGGAAACATGGTAAACCCTGTTTGCTTGCCCTGAGGTTTTAGGTATTTTCTCTCATAATATTTTTTCTGGTTTATCCTTTCGGGAAGTTTTTTCAACTCAACTTGTATTATTTATTGCCTTGACTTTGCTTGACTTTTAGTGTGCCTTACTTCCACCGTCTCTTTCCTGTGCAGAACTCTAGTCTTCACTTTATGGCCATGAGGGATATTACAAATCTGTTCTCTTTTGCTTCCCCGTCCCCTAGAATGTGATGCCTCTCTCAGCGGGATTATTCAAGAGTGAGCACAAGAACCCGGTGCCACAGTGCCCCCCACGGCTGCACGTGCAGTTCCTGTCGCACGTCCTGTGGAGCAGGATGCCCAACCAGTTTTTGAAGGTGGATGTGTCTCGGATAAGTGAACGCCAAGGCTGGCTGGTGCAGTGCCTGGACCCTCTGCAGTTCATGTCTCTTCATATCCCCGAGGAAAACAGGTCAGCCCCATGTACCTTTGACTGTCTGATAGGGACACATGGAATTAGGTGACGGCCCAGGGCTTCTCGGGTGGGACCAGGAGAAAGAAAGTGAGATTTTAAAAGATCTCTTTCCCAGAAAATAATTGTCAGATGTAAAATAAATACATAAAAGATCTCCTTTCTTTCAGCCTTGGAGTCATTATTATCTATACTCCAAGTTTGAATCTGTTATTCAAAGTATCTGCTTTGTTATTGGAAAAAAAAATTATACTGCACTTAGAACACAATGTGGCAGTGTTTGGTTTCTCTGTTCATGCTTGTTTTACTGATGATACCAGCAAATGGAAATTCAGACAAATGCAACTGTAACCTGGTTTACAAGGTGTGGTAATGTATTCTAAGATAGAATCGTGAGATAGGACAGGTGGAATCATAGGAATCATTGAGCTCAACCCTTCATTTTATACTTGATAAAGAGACAGTAATAAGAGAAGATTGTGAAAATACCGAGTGTCTTGCAAAATAGTTTATATGCTTTCCAGATAGTAATAGTGATAAAATAAAGAATGATAGGGCAGCACCTGTGGCTCAATAGGGTAGGGCACTGGCCCCATATGCTGGAGGTGGTGGGTTCAAATCCAGCCCCGGCCAAAAATTAAATAAATGAAAATAAAATAAAGAATGATAAATACTGAAAGGTCGCACTGTTTCTGAGTCTCAGCTTTGTCGTGTGATAGCCAATTAAACCACAGAGATTTCATGTAAACAGCCTTTATCAGTAAGGAGCTAAATTTCTAAGTTTGGATTCAACATTTCCCTCTTAAAATATGGTAAAAAATGTTCAGTCATGAACTAAGTGAGAACAGGGCGTGTAAACAATGTGAAGCCAAATTTGTATGTTTTGTTTGAAGTCATTACTATTAAGATAATTACAGGAGCTGGGTCCATTTTTACCCCTTCAGATATGTTTGACGTTCTTACTGGATTTTAATGCCTTGAACATGTAACTCGTCCTTTGGAAAAGTTTGTCTGTTCCTCAAAAATTGCATGATAATTGGGTTATAGTTTTCCTATGAAAGCTATAAATTAGTTTCATAGTAGGGCTGAGTACATTGAATACTTTTTCTTCCATTCTTGAGATAACCCAGTTTTAGCCCAAGAATATGGCGAAAGGGGAGAGGGGAGGGGAGGGGAGAAAGGAAAGGGGAGGATGGGTGGAGGTAGAGTGATAGGTGGGATCACGCCTATGGTATATCCTATAAGGGTACATGTGAATCTCTCTAAATGTAGACTATAAATGTCTTAACATAATAACTAAGAAAATGACATGAAGGCTATGTTAACTAGTTGGATGAAAGTATTTCAAATTGTATATAGAAATAGCACTCTGTACCACATGATAGTATTAATGTACATAGCTATGATTAAATAAAAAAAAAGACAAGGAAAAAAATTGATAATGTTATCAGGGGGGATGCACCAGTTTTACTGCTCATGTACTCTGGGGAGAAATGAAAACAAGTCCTCACAAAAACTAGTGCGGGAATGTCTGTAGAACCATTGCTCACAATAGTTAAAAAGTAGAAACAACTCAGCTGCCAGTCACTGATGATCAGTAAACGAAATGTGATACATCCAGACAATATCATTCGGCAATAAAAGGGATGAAGTAGTGAGACAAGCCACAAGGTGGAAGGTCCTTGAAAACATTATATTAAATGAAAGAAGAAAATCACAGAAGACCACACATTCAGAATTCCATATACATGGAAATTCCATAATAGACAAGTCTTTAGAGACAGAAAATAAAAATGCAGGCCAGTGCAAGCCTATCAGTGGTTAGATTAGTGGCTTCTTAGGGCTGGGAGTAGAATGAAGAGTGACTGCAAATGGGTGTGGGGTTTCCTTTTGGGGTGATGAAAGCATCCTGTACTTAGTTTAAGGGCATGGTAGCACAGCTCTACTACTATACAAAAGTCATTGAATAATACATATCAAACCTACTACTATACAAAGGTCATTGAATAATACTGTGTTTCCTCCAAAATAAGACACTATCTTATATTTATTTTTTCTCAAGAAGACACACTAGGTCTTATTTTCAGGGGATGTCTTCCTCTCTGTGCCGAAATGCATATGCTGCATAGCCACACCCATCACTAATGCAGATACGCTGCATAGCCACACCCATCACTAGGTCTTATTATCAGGGTAGGGCTTATATTTAACAAACACATAGAAATCCAGCTAGGATTTATTTTGGGGGTAGGTCTTATTTTCAGGGAAACACGGTACATATCAACCCTACTACTATACAGAAGTTGTTGAATAATACATATCAACCCTACTACTATACAAAAGTCATTGAATAATACATAACAATAGGTAAATTGTATAGTAGGAAATTACATCTCAATAAAGATGTTTTCAAACAAAAGAAATTCAAAGAAAAATTAATCTGTCAGGTAAAATTCTATTTTTACATGAAATAACTAGAATATTTTTCATGATATACTCAAGATGATTAGGTTTGATTTTAATTTTTATACTTTATATTTTTTAGGAAAAACTTATCAACATTTTGTATCTGATGGTATTTTTTTTTTAAATATTGAACAACAAAAGGAAACATAACTTTGGGGAAGAAATTTCTCTTTGTGCTCTCTCTCTACTAAGCAAAAGAATTTCAACTTTCTAATTTAATATTTTGGCATGCCATAATCAGAACCCAATATAAACCCCTGCCTGAGTAATTAATAATTTATATTAATTGCCTATGATAAATTTATATGTAAGTGAATGGAAAATTTAAACCCTCATTAAAGATCATGAAAGATTTTCCAAAAATAAATGAAACATAGATGCATTAAAAAAAAAAAGTGTCATGGGCAACACCTGTGGCTCAAAGGAGTAGGGAGGTGGCCCCATATACTGAAGGTGGTGGGTTCAAACCTGGCTCCAGCCAAAAACTGCAAAAAAAAAAAAAAAGTGTCATTGAAATAAGGTTGTAGAGAAGAGAGAAATAAAAAAAATAAAGCCTGGGCTAAGAATTATGCAGAGATTTATGTGGTTGGCAGACACAGGGCCCACATTCATGCTCCCTAGCCGCCAAAGAAAAATATGATAAGTTTCAAAATCCGGATTCTACAAGGAAAGTGCCAACTAGTGGTTGAAAAAAATCTGATTCCTTAATAACATGCTGAAGTATTAATATTTTAAATTTTCGGATGGTGGTAGATACATGTCAGTACATACTTTGTTTCCTCTTAAAACATATCAAAGTTTATAATTTAATTTACACTGTTTTGGAGGGGAGCTAATTTCTCTTGTCAACTTAATAGTAAGCTCCCTGAGGTCAGGAATCACACATCTAATATTTGTTGTCATATCATTAATGTACAATGCTTAATACATAATATACATTCAGTGGCATTTGATGAACAATTAAGTGATATTGAGATATAATAGAAATTTCTCCACTGGAGACTGTTAAAGAATATAATGGGTCATACTGGTCATTTTGCAGTAACAAATAATCCCCAAAGTCTCAGTTGCTTCCAAACAAACATTTATTTATTGCTCATGTTCTATGAGCTCATTGGTTTCCTACATCTCTGCTTTAGGCTGGAGATAGAATGGGGATGAGGCCCACATGCCTTCTCACGCTGAGACTCAAGCTGATGCGGCAGCCTCAGTGTGCGATATAAAGTTTTCATAGCTAAGAGGAGATGTGCAAAATGAGTCACAGAAACTTCCAGGCCTCTAAGAGTTTCTTTTGGTTGTAGAAAGTGTTGTATTCACTTAGAGTTTATTATGTCCATTTACATTGTATTGGCCTGGACAAGTTATATGCTCAAGATCAAAATAAGGTAAAATTACTCCATCTGCAGGAAAGAAGGGAAATATTTGGGGACAGTAATATAATCTAGCATATGCTAGACAGTAGTTGGGGATATGCTTGGCATTGTCATTAGATAAAATAATGAGTTATTTCTTTTGTTATCCCTAAGTTGAATCCATGGTTCATTAAAATATGAATAATTTAGCTGGGCACAGTGGCTCATGCCTGTAATCCTAGCACTCTGGGAGGCTGAGGCAGGTAGATAGCTTGAGCTAAGAGTTCAAAACCAGCCTGAGCAAGAGCGAGACCCCATCTCTACTAAAAAGAAAAAAAAAATAGAAAAACTAGCTGGTGTTGGTGGGAGCCTATAGTCCCAGCTACTTAGGAGGCTGAGGCAAGAGGATGAGTTAACCCCAAGAGTTTGAGGTTGCTGTGAGCTGTAATGCCACAGCACTCTGCCCAGGGCACAGAATGAGACTCTGTCTCAGAAAATAAAATAAATAAAAAATAATAAAGCAAAATATGAATAGTTTTATAAGTGTGTGGGAAGACAAACTAGTTGCAAGTATATGCTTTGGTTTGTCTTGATCTAAAGGCAAAAATTAACAAGAGTTATGGAAAAATACAGACAGCATCTCCTTCAGATGCTGTCATTCATTTATTCACTCATTCCTCAGAATGTATTATTAGTGCCACGGTGTTCCTGGCTCTGGGTGAAAAATGGTGCACAAGACAGATGTGATCTTTGCCTGTAAGGACTTTATGCTCTAGTAGGGAAGACAGATACTTCGGGAAAAGAATGTGGTGTCACAATGTGAAGAGTACGAGGGGTATCGAATGAATGGATTGGGCAAGGCAGCAACGTTGTAGACTGTAGTGTTGTTATATGGTATTTGTAGCAGATATCATTTTGAGAAAAATTAGTACACTAACTTACGTTTAGCTTAGAATACTAATTTTCTATATTGCTGCAATGAAAACATCTATAATTTGACCATCAGCCAGGCGAAGGGTGGGATTTGATCCTACTGGACAAGGAAGAGCCCAGATAAGACATGGAAATCATTGCACTCTAGACATTAGGGGTGGGGGATTTGCACAATTATTTTTTCCTAAGAACGGGGTATTGGAAATGGGGCCCAGCAATTGTGTAGTTTCCTAGAAGCTTGGGTGGCACTTGGGGTGAGTGATCATTTGATTTTAGTTGGTAATATGTGAGGCTTCTGGTTCTAAGCATTGGGAGGTGGGTCTGGAACTATTGTGACTCTAGACATAGTCTGGCCGTATGTCTAAGTTTCCTGCATTGAAAGGGCATGATGCACGGCAGAAGCAAAGTGACTCAAATGCACAGCCCAGCGTACACTCTGACTCAGATCAAAAGCGACATCCCCTTTTGTTTTGCTGTGAATAGTGTGTGTGTTGTGTTTTGTGTTGTGGTACCTGGATGGAACCCAGGTAGCTATGCCAGGAGATGTTTGGGTCTGTGAGGGACACATAATGGCAAATTATCTCAGGGTGTGGACAAGGGCAGCCTGGCCTACAGCAAAGCTTTCTGGTTTCTTGAACCAGATTAGCCAGTTGGAAGAGGGGCTTTAGAATTTTCCAAAGGATGTTCAAATTCTGAAAGGAGGGGAGTCCCAGGCACAGGGTGAAACTGAAATATCTAAAAGAGGTGCCAAGAGCCTATTACAATGGATGAAGAAAGTTCTAGAAGGCCGTCAAATTCTATGTAGAAGAAAATTTGTAAAACATTTAGAAGTGATTTTTTAAAAAATTACAGGTTAATATGAGGATACATGGGATTGGGTTAGATGTTTGCATTTGCAAGGTAAAGTCCAAGGTCAGAGTTGTAGTGAGTCATTCACTCCTACATTGTCCTCAGTAGGTGGGAACTAACCGAACCCCTTTCACTCCTCCTCTTCATTGAGTTTAATTGTGTTTTTCTCTTCTGTGGGCCTGTGGTGGTTCATCCACTATTTTCAGATTAGTACTGAGTACATGGGATGCTTGCTTTTCCATTCTTGAGATCCTTTATAGGAGCCTATGCAACCATTAAACATGAAACAGAAAATGAAAAGAAGAAGATGCAGGTTGGGCATCCTAAATGTGAAAATCTAAAATCCAAAATGCTCTTAAATCTGAAACTTTGAGCATGGATGTGCAGCTCACAGGAAATGCTTATTGGAGTATTTCAAATTTCAGATTTTCATATTTGAGATGTCAAACCAATAGATATAATGCAAACATTCCAAAGTCTGAGAAAAATCCAGAAATCCCAAACACTCTGGTCCCAAGTGTTCAGATGAGGGATATTCGGTCTGTAGCATATATTTCTATAAAACTTTTTGAGATTTATGGTATACACCGGTTCTTTTGATTCAGATTGATTTGTTTATTGGCCCATTTCTGATCTTGCTGCTGCTGTCCTTGTCCCTTCTGTAGATCTGTGGACATCTTAGAGTTGACAGAGCAGGAGGAACTGCTGAAGTTTCACTATCACACTCTCCGGCTCTACTCAGCCGTCTGCGCTCTTGGGAACCACCGGGTGGCCCATGCCCTGTGCAGCCATGTCGATGAACCCCAGCTCCTCTACGCCATCGAGAACAAGTACATGCCAGGCTTGCTGCGTGCCGGCTACTACGACCTCCTGATTGACATCCACCTCAGCTCCTACGCCACCGCCAGGCTTATGATGAACAACGAGTTCATCGTCCCCATGACAGAGGAGACAAAGAGCATCACCCTTTTCCCAGATGAGAACAAAAAGCACGGCCTTCCGGGGATTGGCCTCAGCACCTCCCTCAGGCCGCGGATGCAGTTCTCCTCCCCCAGCTTTGTAAGCATCAATAATGAATGTTACCAGTACAGCCCCGAGTTCCCACTGGACATCCTGAAGGCCAAAACCATACAGATGCTGACGGAAGCAGTGAAGGAGGGCGGCCTTCATGCCCGGGACCCGGTTGGGGGGACCACTGAGTTCCTCTTTGTGCCTCTCATCAAGCTGTTCTATACCCTGCTGATCATGGGCGTCTTTCACAACGAGGACCTGAAGCACATCTTGCAGCTGATCGAGCCCAGCGTGTTTAAAGAAGCAGCCACTGGGGAGGAGGAGAGCGACACACCCGAGAAGGAGCTCAGTGCCGAAGACTCAAAGCTGGAAGGGGCCAGCGAAGAAGAGGCCAAAGGGGGTAAGAGGCCCAAGGAGGGCCTACTCCAAATGAAACTGCCAGAGCCAGTTAAACTGCAGGTAATCGGAAAGAACGATTTGGTTAATTTAAGAATTGCTCAGTATTAAGATGCTTGCAATTTGCTTTTGTCTCTCTGTGTGTGTGCGCATGCATTTGGGTTCCCTGTGCAATGGTGGTTCGTAGAATTTACTAACTCCCATATTCTTTTACCTCCTCTTCCCTGGTGGTTTCCTTGCATCTCTCCTCTGATTTCTGCAGCTACATTTCACCTTCATTATGCTGGAATGCTTGAAATACAAGGCATTAAATACCCATTTTTCTCTTACAAGTCTACTATTACCAGCCTTTGAGCACTTGCTCACTGGTAGAAGTGTGCGTTCTCCCACACTGGGATCTGACTTCCCCTCGTATGTTTCTGAGGGATCGATGGCATTGCCTGTCTCAGTGTTTGTGGAGAAGGACAAAGTGTCCTTTCTTCCTGCCTCTTCTGTCCATCAAAGTCAGTTTGATATTTGCATCACTAACATGTTTTGTGCCCTTCATTCCATCAGTCAGCACTGACTGAAGTCTTACTCGGGTCCATGCACGTGGCTGGGAGAAATAAACGTGTGTGAGCCCTGCTGCCCAGAAACTCACTATCTCTAGGGAAATAGATATAATTATGTGTGCATTTCTTTTAAAACATCCGACTGTTAATTGTATTAAATACTCTGAAGGAAAAGAATGGGTTATAGGAAGAAAGAAAACTTCAACTGTTAGAAAGGTTAGAGATGACTCCTTGGAGATCATGACTTTGTTGCTGATGTTGGACCGAGGAGTTGAGTTCAATAGGTATGAAGAAGAGAGACTAGGGCAGGGGTTCTAGCCCTGTGAAGGGGTTCAGGTAGAAAAAGTCCAGTATGGCTGCTGTAAAGAAAATAGATGAGGGTGGATGGGGGAGGGGAGGTGTCAGAGTCTGATTATCCAAGAGGCTGTCATGCTGGTTCAGTCCCCAGAGGACTGTGCTCTCACCAGGACAGGACAAAGGTGATGGAGGAAAGGCCTAGATGCAGGGCTACTTCAGAGCTGCCATGGACAGGAAAGGTTCTCATGTGGATGGCACACACAGGGTTTTAAGTCTTCTTTGCATTTATGTTACAACTGGTATTGAGCATATATAATCTTTTTTAGACTTTGCAGAGCATTCTCTTATAGACGTGTTTCTACAAATGTGCTGTCTCAGTTAAAAATCCCTTTGGCTTTTGGTAGGAGAATGCCCAGCTAACCATTCAATGAATAAGCATTTACCACTGCTCAGTTATCTTAAGTGTGGAGTTCTAGAATTGCTACCATAGCTCAATAATGTTCTCAGGAACCCAGATCTTTGTATCTTTCTGGTCTTTGGTCCTCAGTCTGTGGTTTTCTTCCTAAGGAGTATCACCTTATTCTTCCTCTAGTGCAGGCGTCCTCAAACTACAGCCTCTGGGCCACATACAGCCCTCCTAGGACATTTATCCAGCCCACCAGGTGTTTTTGCCACTGCTGCCTGTCCTGCTTAGCAGCCGACTTGTCCTGGGGCCCATAGTCCAGCCCTCCAATGGTCTGAGAAACAGTGAACTGGCCCTGGTTTAAAAAGTTTGAGGACCCCTGCTCTAGTGCTTATGTTATTACCCAGTTACACCCATTTTTGGAAGGAGGGAATTCTGGTCTGTTATTAGTCCTGGGAAATCTTTGCCACAAGAGCCCAGGCAAACTTCATTTTATGTATTTCATTGGCCATACCACCTGTGGCTGAAAGGAAGTCCAAAAGAGTAAACGTCCACCAAGGGGACGTGTATTTTCCATTTTGGCTTAGACTAATCGTGTTTCATCCTCCAGGACAGAGCTCATTGAAGCCTGCTCAAAATCAAGATTCTGTTTATAAGGGAGAAGAATAGGCAACTGTGTACCTTTATCACAGATTATGATTTGATCTACATGAACTATTAAAGGATTCAGAAATTAAATTTGGTGTCTTGTTAATCATTTTCTAGATGTGCCTACTGCTTCAATACCTCTGTGACTGCCAGGTCCGGCACCGGATAGAAGCCATCGTAGCCTTTTCTGATGACTTTGTAGCTAAGCTTCAAGACAATCAACGCTTCCGGTATAATGAAGTGATGCAAGCCTTAAATATGTCAGCTGCACTCACAGCAAGAAAGACAAAGGAATTTAGATCCCCACCTCAAGAACAGGTAAAAAATGAAATTAAAATTCTTCCTTTTTATTTTGGTTTTTAGTTTATTCAGGATCTTTATATTTCAAAATCATATCATAAGTTACACATTTTATCCCTGTACTGTTTAAACTAGTCAAGTAGATTTAATTAGTATTCCTAGTTCTGCCAAAAGAATATACTTGGTTAGTTCAAACAAAACTGGGACTTGAAAAAGGTATCAGATATAACACAGACTCTTTCATAAGGTCAGTAGACTGGAGTATGAGGTTCTGCAAATAGGAACAATAGTCAACCATGGATGGGTCTTTATCACCCCTGCCAAGAGAAACCTTTAACTCCTAGGACTTGATGCTAGAAGCTTTCTTTTTGAGCCTTCTGTAGAAGAACAAAATCTGTCTGTCACTTTTCTTGCTGCAAGATTTATCACCCTATTACTGGTTCTTTCTTTCCCTACTTCCAAATTTGGGTATCCTTAGGGTATAGCAGAACCAAGGACATATGCCTGGATGGTTATGAGTGAGCTAGTCCAGGGATGTGAATTTTCTGGAATCTACCTTGGGTGGAACACAGAGTATGTGAAATTACCAAAATATTAGGGATGATGGTTAAAAGATATAACTCATAGATATCTTCTTTGTTACCTTAACTCATATTATTTACCTCTATGTACAAAGTAGGTCAGGATGAAAGTGTTTAGAGACTAATTATAGAATTTATTCTTTCTTACCAGAATGTAATTTCTTTGAGGTAAGGGACATGGAATTTTTTTTTATTACTATAAACAGCATTTATTGAGCAGGGAACAAGTCTGCCCTCTTCCAGATTAACTCTTTCTGTTAACTACTATTGGGAGACTTCTGCTTCTGGAAAGATGGAGTACATGTGCTTTTCCCTATTCTTCCTTCTAAGTACAACTAAAACCCTGGACATTACATATAAGACATCATAAGAAGATTCTGAAAGACAGAAGAAGGGAGGTTGGCTACGGAACTCAGGACCCACGGAGCGACATGGTGGTGAGTTCTCTGGGTTTTCTTTTTGCCTCATCTATCTCAGATTTGAAGCTAAAGAAGCCGGCAAGCAGAACATGCCAACGGGCATAGACAAGAAAAACCACAACAAAAGCCTGCTCTCTCTGACCGAAGGACCAGGAAAGGGCCAGCTTAGCATGACAGAATTGTTTTACATAATAACAGCACTACTCTGCTGGGCATAGTGGCTCACACCTGTAATCCTAGCACTTTGGGAAGCTGAGGCGTATGGATTATGTGAGCTCAGAGTTCAATACCAGCTTGAGCCAAGAGCAAGACCTCATCTCTACCAAAAATAGAAAAATTAGCCAGGTGTTATGACAGGCACCTGTAGTCCCGGTTACTTGGGAGGCTGAGGCATAAGGATCACTTGAGCCTAAGACTTTGAGATTTCTATGAGCTGTGACTCCATGGAACTCTACTAGGGCAACAGAGTGAGACCCTGTTTCAAAAATAAAACAAAACAGAACAAAAAATAACTGCTTTACTCCAGCCAGAAACCACAGGAAAAACTGTACCCTGCATCACTCAGCATGGGTTGAGTAGAGAACCTTGAGTTCTGTCTATCTTCCCCAGACTGTGGTGAAGTTCCCCAGTAGAAGAGAGAGCTAAGACTTCCATTGTCACAAGGTGGTGACAAGGTGTACCCCTTTCAGAGTGCTGGTAGGGGCCATGGAAGGAGAAGCAGCAAGGCACTCTTACAAGGTTGTATTAGTACAGGTCTAGTGGGGAACCAGAACTTCCACCCCTGTCTGAGAGTCACAGGCTCCCCTCTCTCTTCATGTCCAAGGAGGCTGAGTGGGGAAGTGACTTTCACTCTTACCTGGCAGTAATGAAGCACCAAAGCCCTTCTCCTGCTGGATGATAGCATAGAAAACAGCTAAAACAAGGTTTAAATAATTGCTGGAGCTCATAACATAATGCTCAAAATGTGCTGATTTCAATTAAATGATCACTCAAACCAAGAAACAAGAAAAACTTGAATGAAAAAAGGCAGTAAACACTAACACTGTGATGATAGAGATATTAACATTACCTGACAAAGCTTTGAAACAACCATCATAAAATTACTTCAAAATGGAAAAAAGAAATAAAATAAGCCAGACAGTTTCAACAAAGAAATAAAAGATGTAAAGAAGAAACAAATGGAAATTTTAGATCTGAAAAACCTAATAACTAAGAAAAACAGTTCTGTGAATGGGCTTAATAGGAGAATGGAGAGGACAGAGGAAAGTCCTGCTGAACTGAAGAGGGAACATTAGAAGACACCCTATGTGGAAAAAAAGAGAGAAAACAAGCTGAAGAAATACACAGAGCCTCAAGAACCAGAGTGAATATAACAAAAAGATCTACCATTTCTAACATGGGAATCTCAGAGGATAGGAGAAAGAGGGCAATCTGAAAAAAACAATTGAAGAAACAATGCCTGAAAACTTCCAAATGCAGCAAAAGATACGAAGCTAGAGATTCAACAAGCTGAGTATGTTTCACATAATATAAACCCCAAAGAAGTCTTATGCCACGACATACTTTAGTGAAATTTCTGAAAATTAAGAGCAAAGAACATATCTTAAAAGAAATGATACTGTACCTATGGGGGAAAACCTACTAGAATGACAGCAGATTTCTCATCAGAGAGCATGATGGGTGAAAGGAAGTGGCACACCAATTTTTATGTGGTGAAAGAAAATAAGTGTCAACCCAGAGTTCTGTCTTCAAAATATTCTTAAGGAATGAAGGAGAAATCAAGATATTCTTAGGTGATCGGAAGTTAATGAGAATGTGACTGCAGTGGGTCTACACTTAAGGAAGATTGTTAAACAGAAAGAGAATGGCAAAAGAAGGAAATTTAGAAAATCAGGAGGGAAGAACAAGCAACAGAAAATATGGGTAAATTATGGGTAAATACAATGCACTTTTCTTTTCCTCTGAAGTTTTCTGAATTCTGTTTGATTATTTGAGCAAAAATTATGTAACTGTCTGAAATGGTTCTAAGTGTATGTATAAGGCATATTTAAGACGATCGTATATATAGACATAGGTATAGATTAAAGTAAAGGGACATAAGGGGAGATAAAGAATAAGATTACTTTGCTCAAACTGGCAAAATGTCAATACCAGTAAACTGTATAAATTATATATATAGTAATACCTAGAGTAACCACTAAGGAAACTATATACAAAGGTGTACACTGAGAAATACCATGGATAAATCAAAATGGTCCTAGAAATTATTCAAGTAACCCAAAACATGTCAAGAATAATAAATCAGAAGGAACAAACAAAGCAACAAACACAATCCCAGATTTAAGTTGTAGTATATAAATGATTATATGAATGTTAATAATCTAAAATAGATTAGATGGGCTGAATATATATATATATAAATATACATATGTTAATTTTTCAATATATATAATTTCAATATATACATGTTTTTTCATATATATTGAAAAATTAAAAGAGTAAAAATGACTATATCCCCTAAAATAGACTATATAGCAAAGAAAGTTACCAAAAAAAAATATATATATATAAAATTAATCAAAAAAGTAAAAATGACCATATCCCCTAAAGTAGACTTTAGAGCAGTGGTTCTCAACCTGTGGGTCACGACCCCTTTGGGGGTCTCCTGAATATCAGGTATTTACATTACGATTCATAACAGTAGCAAAATTACAGTTATGAAGTAGCAATGAATATAATTTTATGGTTGGGGTCACCACAACATGAGGAACTGTATTAAAGGGTCACGGCATTAGGAAGGTTGAGAACCACTGCTTTAGAGCAAAGAAAGTTACCCAAGAGGCAGGAACAACACGTAATGATAAAGGGTAAAGAAGACAATGTGTCTGCTTTAAATCATAGAACTACAAAGTATGTGAAATTAGAACTGGTAGAACTGAAAGGAGAAACAAACCCAAGATTATCAGGGGAGACTTTAAAACTCCTTTCTCAGTAATTAATAAAACAGCTAACCAGGACTTGGCACCCATAGCACAGTGGTTATGGTGCCAGCCACATGTACCAAGGCTGGTGGGTTTGACCCTGGCCCAGGCCAGCTAAACAACAATGATAACTGAAACAAACAAACAAAATAGCTGGACGTTGTGGCAGGCGCCTGTAGTCCCAGCTACTTGGGAGGCTGAGGCAAGGCAATTGCTTAAGCCCAAGAGTTAGAGGTTGCTGTGAGCTATGATGTCATAGCACTCTACCCAGGGTGACATAATGAGACTCTGTCTCAAAAAAAAAAAAAAAACTAGCCAGAAAAATGAACTAAGATATAGGAAAACTCAACATTATCATCAATTAATGGATCTATCAACATTTATAGAATATTCCAGACAATAGAATACACATTCTTTTCAAGTGTCTGTGAAACATTTGCAAAGATGGGCCATAGCCTCTGCCATAAAAAACCTTAACACATTTTAAAATATGGAAATCATACAGAATTGCCTTATCACATTGTAATCAAATTAGAAATAAATAACATAAAGGCAACAGGAAAATGTCTAAACCTTTTAGAAAAAGAACACACTGCTGGGCAATTAATGGTTCAGAGAAGGAGGTCTCAAGGGAAATTTTGAGCTAGAAGTAAATGAGCATATCACATATGAAATTTGTGCCACGGCCAAAGCAGTGCAGAGAGGGAAATTTATAGCACTCAATGCTTACATTTCAAAAAGAGGAAAACACTCTTTTTTTTTTTTTTAAATAAACTAAGCTGCCATCTCAAGAATTTAGATTACAAAGCAAGCAAAAAGAACCCAAAGCAAGCAGAGAGAGGGCACTAACATAGATTAGGGCAGAAATCAGTGAAACAGAAAGCAGGGTAATAATAGCAAAAATGAATCCACAGAGTAATAATAGAACTAAAATGAATCCTAGAGTGGCTTATTTTGCAAGATTAATAAAATTTGCAAACCTTTATAAAGACAAAGAGAAAAGACACATTATTTACATCAGTCATGAAACAGGGTATCACTATAGACATGGCTGACATAAAAAAAATCACATTCAATGTTTGTTCCCATCAAAAAAAAAAAAAAAAAGAAAATTAATTAGCTTGATTTACTCTTTCTACAATGTATACACATATCTAAATATCACATTGTGCCTCATAAATATACACAGTTAATATTTTTTAAATAAGTATCTTTTAAAATATGGGAATACATACACTCTATATGATTCCATTTATATAACATTCTTTTTTTATTAAATCATAGCTGTGTACATTAATGCACTTATGGGGTACAATGTGCTGGTTTTATATACAATTTGAAATACTTTCATCAAATTGGTTAACCTAGCCTTCACTGCATTTTCTTAGTTACTATGTTAAGACATATATATTCTACCCTTAGTAGATTTAATGTGTACCCTTGTAAAATGCACCATAGGTGTGATCCCACCAATTACCCTCCCTCTACCCCTCCTCCCCTCTCCTTAAATGATAAAAGCATAGAAATAGAAAACAGGATAGTGATTTCCAGGAGTTAAGGGGAGAGGAGCAAACAGGAGGGATGTATATGGTCATAAAAAGGGTAATGGGAGGGGCCGGCGCCCTACTCGTTTGAGCCACAGGTGCCACCCCCATATGCTGGAAGTGGTGGGTTCAAACCCAGCCCCTGCCAAAAACTGAAAGAAAAAAGAAAGGTAACGGGAGGGCTCTTTGAGGGAAAGGAATTATTCTCTGTGTAGACCACGTCATATTGCTATCCTGGTTGTGCTATTTTATTACAGTTGCATAAAATGTTCTCACTGCGGGGAATGGGTGAAGTGTACATGTGGTCTCTTTGTACTATTTCTTACAATAACATGTGATGTACAATTATCTCCAAATAAATGTTTAGTCAGAAAAAAAAACCCCAGAAAATTACATACAAATCTCCATAAAGAAAACCTAAAATTGTTTCTTAAAGGAAAATTATGACATAGCGACTTTCTTTTCTTCATTTGTAAATTTAATTCTACTACCTCTACAACTAAAACAATTGGAAGAAAGTCTTTCCAGTTTGTTTAATTGAACCATTGATGTTAGCAATAGCATATTTATTCGTTACACAAATTGAGCATCCCTAATATAAAAATTCCAAAATCAAAATAGTCCAGAACAAGAAACATTCTGATTGCCAACATGAGGCCACAGTGGAAAATTCCACACAGAAATACTTAGTATAAACTCAGTTTCATAAGCAAAATTATTAAAAATACTGTCCAAAATTACCATCAGATTAGGTGTACATGAGACGTAAATGAATTTTGTGTTCATACTTGGGTCCCTTTCCCAAGATAGCTCAGTATGTGTAAGCAGATACAGTCAGCTGTTCATAGCCTTGGTTTTCTCATCCACGAATTCAGCCAACTAGAAATCAAAAATGTTCGGAGAAAAAAAATATCCACAGAGTTCCCAGAAGGAAAACTTGAATTTGCTGTGTTCTGAGTACCATGTTAAATCCTTGTGAATGAAGTGATCTGTGGGCATTGATGTGGTAGGTATTATAAGTAATCTAGAGATGATTTAATGAATACAGCAGGGTGTACATAGGTTAAATGCAATTATTATGCCATTTTATGTAAAAGACAATTGCATCCACAGGTTTTAGTATACATGGGTGGGGAGAGGTGTTAAGTCAACCTCTCATAGATACCAAGGGACAACCGTACTCCAAAATTCGAAAGAATTCAAAATATAAAACACTTCTGATACCAAGCATTTTAGATAAAGAATACTCAACCGGTATCCTTTTTCAATTGTGTGTAGGTTTTTCTTCTTTGTGATGGCTGTATCCTTCTCAAAAAGAGTCATTTTAGATATTTGATAAAGGATAGGCATTCGCTAGAAAAGAATGGAGATTTGGGTTAAACATATTAAAATGCTTTAAAAAATAGCATTTCACATGTGAATCTTTCTAAATGTAGAGTGTAAATGTCATAACACAATAACTAAGAAAATGACATGAAGGCTATGTTAACCAGTTTGATGAAGGTTTTTCAAATTATATATAAAAACAGCACACTGTACCCCATGACAGTGTTAATGTACGCAGCTATGATTTAATAAACAAAATAGAAAATAGCATTTCAAACTTTTAGTCAAGAATTGTAAAAGCATACGAGAGTCTCACATTGTGGAACGGAGAATGAGGTACCAACGTTGGATGGTTGGTTGGATGGTTTTGTAGCTTGTTAAGCTGTCTGTGATTTGATCGGTTTGGGGTAGTAGTTGGACTGAGTGAGAGACCATGATTTGTCTCCTGTTGGCCTAATTTATGAACACTTGGAAACAGACTTTGAACATCCTTGCCTCTGTGATCTTTGCTTTGTCATTCTTGAATTCACCTTCCTCTCTCCCCTTGTTCTTCCTCTTTCTTGGTTTTTCAACTTTCAGATCAATATGCTTCTCAATTTCAAGGATGACAAAAGTGAATGTCCGTGTTCTGAAGAAATTCGTGACCAGCTGTTGGATTTCCACGAGGATTTGATGACACACTGTGGTAAGGTCTTCTTGATTAACGATTCTTATTAATTGTGTGTTTGTAATCCACATAGATGGATACAAAATTATGTATATATGCCTGGTACTATTTAAATTTCATATAACAATTTTTTTTTGTGGTGAGATGGTTAACTGTTGCTGTATAGAAAATCATGAGGGATAGAAAAATCAGAGCAGTGAGACTGAGCAGAAGGTGATGGGAATTCTCTTTTCCCTCTTTCTCTCTATGGCAAGGGATGAAAAAACGTGATGGGGACACTGACCAGGTACACCTGGCAGGCTAAGTACTAGGTTGGTTTAGTCAAAAGGTATGGAGTTTCAGATACACAGGATGAGAAAGTTCTAGAGATGAGCTGTTAGACAGTTTCCTTGTAGTTCATGTCACTATATTATGTTCTTAAGATTTTGTTCAGGGGCAGACCTCATGTTGAGTTTTTTCACAACAAACAAACCAACCCCACCCCCAAACCAAAAGAGCATTAGGAAATTTAGAGGTTTTGGTGGATGGATGTATTGTCTATCCCTGATTGTGGTGAGGGTTTCATGGGTATATGTCTAGATTCATCAAATTGTATAAATTAAATATGTGCAGCTTTTGTCTATCAGTCATACCTCAAAACATTTTTTTTGAAGTTAAGAAATTTGATGACAAACAGTTGTATTTAAACCTGGTGAGGGGCCACTTTTCAGGATGCTGCTAAAAAATCCAGCCTGTACCTTTTGAAATTGTTGAATGTCTAAGGAAGTTTTGCATGGAGTGATATGTCAGTAGCCCAGATCTCTTAAGGGAAATTACCCTCCTTTTGTTCTAAAGCCTTTCAAAATGGAATTGACTGGGTATTCTGGATGTGTAGTTATTTACTCCTGTGTGCAGTGATGTGGATAAGGTCTATGATTCAGTGAAAAAAAAATAAATTAGAAATTTTTAATTGATGTAGATAGATAGATAGATATAGATATGTAACCAGTAGTGTTATTTTTATCTAATTTTAATGAAGAGAACAAAAACAGCACCTTGTATATAATTTGGTTTGTGGACAAAGAACTGAATGACTGCCAGAAAACTTTACTCTCTCTACAGAGAGAGAGTAGAATATAAAATGGTAGAATTATTGCTTCAGATATAAAGCATCCCCTGGTACCTAATTATGTCTATTCCTTTTGTCTCTCAAGTTATCACAAAATACCACTGACATTTTTGGAGGCAAAAGATGAGAATAAACGTCCAGGGGGATTTCTAGGTAGGGCAGGATGATAGATATAAGCAGACGTGTCCAAAGCCAGGGCTCCCAGGCAGCACAAACAGCAGAATTGCTCTTCATTCCAAAGACAGTCTTTTTGGTCTCTGCTTAATTCTACCTTTTGTCTTAGCTGTCAGTAACCTTGAGTGCACAAGAACAAGGGAACAGAGAGAAGAGGGAAAGAGGCTGACAAG